TAATTCATTTCAAATAACAGAAACTTAAATAAGATTATATTTTATTTTGCTTCTAAGGAATGACTACACGTCATAAAATACTGTAGTCATCTAAACATTAAATAGAATGCATTATTCTATTTCCCTAAATTAAATAATGATGTATTTATCAATATATAATTGCTTACAGATAAATTGCATATGAGGATATGTAATTATCAATTTTTCCTTTTAGTTACATGTTGTTTAATACATAACTATAAACACAATTAATGTAAATCTTTATGTTCTATAACACAAACACATCAGAAAAGCTCAGAAGAATTCCCTCTTCTAGTTAATTTTTTGGTGTTATTTGTGGAAAGCACGAATGAGACTTATAAGTCCTTTACTCATTCCAGCCGGTTTGGGGCTGTGGTAAAGATTGGTTAAATATGCAGTTGGATTATACAATAGGAACAGACGAATAGGTGAAGTAAGTGGGTAGAAAATGTAGATGTCTCTAGGTAATTTAACTCGTGTTTTGAATAAATGGTTATTTTGTTCCGTTTTTTATTTAAGTTATAGCTGTTTTTCTTCTAATTCCGTGTTTTGTGTTGCATTAACAAACATATGGTTCCCTCATTGAAAATTTGTTAGACCAGATGATTTTTATTCGCTCAAGAAGGAATCCGCAGAATGGGAAGATTAACATCAGTTCATAAAGACACACAGTAGTGTGTTGTGCGGCCAAAACAAATTGTTATTAATAGGAGTGATAGTTTGGCAAATTTTCCACTTTTTTTATCTCGGACTGTGATGCTCAAAACTATCACATATTTTCAGTGGATCTACTTTACTAGACCCTTACTTCACATACCAAAATTAAAACAATCTATTACGAAATACACAAGACATAAAATCTCCAAGTTTGATTGAATTGCTTCCTTTTTTTTATTTGATAGACAAAACAAACGAACTTAACTTCTATTTATTGATTTTTTAAAATTTGATACACCAGTATATCTTTACAACCTACAATTAAATTTGGTCTAAATATCAGCCACACGTGCAAAGTTATTCAACAGAAACCGCTCAATTTTGACGAACATTTTAGCGCACGCCTACGCAAATAGTCGCGAGAGCTATCGGTCTGAAATTTTAACTACAGTTTTAAGTTTTTTGTCATTCGGATTAAAGACGGCTGATTTAGAGCAGCAAAACTATATGGTGAAAGTACGTGCAGATACATAAGTATTGTTAGGCAAAGCAAACGAGATTAGCAGTTTCTATCTCAAGTGTTCAAAAGAATCATACGGGAGGACGGTTATTACTCATTATTCACTGCCAACTTTTAAGCACGAATTTGCTAAATTTTATTAAATTCTTCTAATTAATGAGCGTTTAGCGTCACGTGATATCAGGTGAAGCATTTATCGTAAATAATGATGCTTGATATGGCTCTAACGAGTGCATGATAGTAACGCCATGGAAACTAGATTAACAGTTTTTGTCATCACCCAAAATAAAGTTATTAACACTGTTTCTGAGAGGAAACACTACCACCTTATATTTTGAAGAATCTGGTTGGTTCTGTAAAGCATAGGTCTGGTCCGAATAATAGGGTTGCGATCCTAAAGCTAATGTGTGTTACTGTCGAGTGTCACTTTCTTACTTGCTGTTGTTTGTTGGTGTGTATTGACAAAAACACACCTAAAGTGTTTTTGATTAGTTATAATGACAACGCACCGTTTTTAAAAAGGAATTGAGCATGTGACTTAAAGGAATGAATTCAAAATTGGCGGCCAAACTTGTAGCTACACTTATAGCATTGATAAGACTTTTACAGCAAATATTCATTCATTAGCTAGCTAGGCCGCGTATGTTTTACTCACCATCATGCCCCAAGTTGAACAAAAAATGCGACCTAGCTAACTAATGAATGAATGTTGTTTCCACTCCAACACCCACCATAAGGCTGATACAAAGAGCCGTTTCTTCAGCAATA